GAGGTAGACTGGTACGGTGAGAAGGGCAGCGGACAATGTTCTGTTCTGTTGTGCTTAGGTCGCTGCGTTGGTACCGAATGGATAGCACCCAACAACATCAATCAACAAAACATTTTTTTTTAAAAGTGCAACCATATTTTATTACCAAACATCCAGTTACCTGCAAGGTAGAAGTGCAGGTTTAATAAGGATGGTTTCTTTAACAAACAAATTTAAAAAATATATCAACAGTGTCATATGTTTAAAAACATAAAACTTATCAGGGTTACAGGACAAATATCTCAAATTTATTTCAGTCCATAAAATATAGCATCTGACAGTCTGCTGCTCGGTGTTACCAACCATCCCCCCCAACTTTTAGTTTTAGAGAAATCACTCTATACCTTACTGCTACCAAAACCATATGGGACTGGGGCATAATTCCTTGTGTACACTTGGAAAACTTTTGTTTTAGTGGCTACCCCTAAATAAAAAAGTTTCTATTAAAAACAAACAAACAAACAAAAAACCCAACTTGAGATTAACTCAGAAGAAAAACATTTCTATGTAGTGGTTATGAATCTGGCTGCGAACTGTAAGGTCAGCAGTTTGAAACTACCAGCTGTCCTGTGGAAGAAAAATGAGGCTTTCTGCTCCTGTAAAGATTTACAGCCTAGGAAACCCTGTACAGGGTAACTATGAGTCGGAACCGACTCCATGGCACATAACAACAACCATAAAGAAAAAGTTTTCTTGTCTAACTTCTACCATTTTATTCCAATAAACAGTAAAAACAATCCCTCCCCACATACCCCAGCTCACGAGTCACAGCTCTGCTACCTAGCACCAGCCACCATTTTAGGAATGTTCACCTGCTAGGTAGGAAATACATCCCTGAGGGCCAGATTTCCTAAAACTGGCAAAAAGGCCTTGTTTCCTGTAATGGGGTCAGCGTATCTGGTTGACACTGGAATGCAGGCTAGGCACAGGCAGCTATCCTGAATAACAACACCCAACGCACACTTTGTAACCTAAAGTCTAACCTCCCAGCTAAAATAAAAAGCAGTAGCAGCAACCTCAAACTATTGCCTGCACCTAAAAAGTATCCTT